GTATTCTTGTACCTCTCTGCTGCACAATACAGCTGTCACATGCCTGAAACAAGACTGGCATTCTACAATACAATAGTTCATTGTTGAGTCAACTCTTAATTTTCTGCGTGTGAGTTAGTCACAGAAAATATATAATCACCATTCAGTTGTCCCTACTTCCAGCCAGTCCCCCTATATGTCAGAACAACATAATCAATAAGGTAAGTCTGAACCTATTTTTAATTAAGTGAAACAGCTCTAAGGTTGCCTTGTCTTTTGCATAGATAATAGATTGCTGAGAGGTTTATAATGAAAACTGCCTTCCATTGCTTTGTTCAAAAATTGAAACAGATCCCAAGAAGGCCACATTCAGCAACTGCTAATAGTGAATTTGGCTTTTGGCAGGACCTTCCCTTATTCAAATATTTTGGATACCACTGATCATCCAACTCTATGCCCTTGTCAAAGTCAAAGCAACGCCTTGGCTTTTATCTATTGAACTGTTAAACTAACAGCTATTATTGGGAGATGCAGGTCAGAAATAAAATTTAAATATAGAGCTGATTTTTACTATTGCAAGCAAGGGCCATGGGCCCAGACAGACCAAGTTTCAAAACTTGGCTGTATCATGCATTATGTATGTTATGTTGGATAAAATACTTCACTTTTCTATTTTATCAAATTGAGGCTAAGAATCCCTATCTCACAATCTTGTTATAAGGATCAAAGGACATGATTTATCAGGTGCCCAGATCATTCTATAACTTAATAGAAATTCCCATTATGGAATTTTATTTTGCTGACACTTGGTTCTCCCATCTGTACTTTTTTTCCCTAATGAAAATCTATTCTCCCTTTTTATGATAACAGAATCCTGTTTTCTCCTTCTTAGTAATCATCTTTCCCCTAACCTTGAACCATGCGGTTGGACTAGGACTCAACCTCACCTCCTATTTCAATTCCCTGACCTACATGAGTAGTCTACCACCTTCTATAGCCTTGACCACTCAGATTCAATCTCTGGAAATATAAGGAAAGAGGCAGGTTGGTTTTATGGGGCTTCTAAACTGTTAGAAAGTGGACTAAAGCTGATAAAGTCCATCATTGCCACAAATGAGAAAACCAACCTGAGGATAAAGCCAAGAAGGGGGAAAACAAAACTAATAGATATAGAAGGTCAGCCACTATTAAGAATATTATTACTATTAGTCAATGGGCATTTAATACAATTCTTAGGTTCCGGTCATGTAAACACTTCATGAGAAACATCTCATTTAATGAAGTAGGTATTAATTATCTTCACATCACAGAAGCGAGAAAAACAACAACTGAGGTACACAGGAGTAACTTCTCTGTGATCCCTTACTGAGTAAATGGTAAAGCTGGACTCACACCTCAGTATCTCTGAGCCCCTTAATCTCCAGGCTTTAATTCCAGTGTAACTGATCTCTGACATAAGAAAGAACAAGACTGCTATCACAGTTAAATAAAAAGGACACCTACTCTATTAAGTGTAATACCGTACTAAGATGTGTTTTATAAACTGCTATATATACATGTAAATCGGTTTTAAAGACAATATGAACTCCTTGGAGGAAAGTTCATATTTATGTTAATTGTGGCAGTGCTAACAGCAACCACTGTGATAACATAAGAATAAACTCTTATGTTCCATAGTTATTTTCCAATTGCCATCGACTAGTTTCAGAGATGGCATTGCTATTGCCACCCAAGCAGGTATTTCTCAAGTGGACTAGGTGATAAGGAAAAGACATGAATTCATCTTCATTTTTCTCTATGGGAAATGCTATGTTATTACCCAGAGTCACTTACACCAGACAATTTATCACTAGAAAAGTTGCCTCCATCCTTCCACACCCCCACAACCAGGCTCCAAGCAAAAATTATTAAAGGGGGCCTCTTTTAATTAAGCTTGCTGAGTAATCCTAGATAGCCCCATAGTTCCTGTGTAATTTGAAGCAATTGGTTTCCAGGAGTGAGTCTAATAAATATTGCTTTGACTGACATCTTTGCTGCCAGCCTCAGGAAGTTGCTCAGTCAGAAATACAGACCATGTGGCCAGAGATCAAGAGATTTTCATCAACAGTCATGTGTACTGTGCAATTTACAAGGTCTCATGCCTCTCTGGAAAAACTAACAGAGCTTAAAGAACCCACGGGGGCCATCTGCCAAGCCCAGTTGGAGAGAGACTCATGCAGGCTCGGTGGCCAAAAGAGCTTCGGGTTTTCTCTACTCATCTGCCTGAATGGGTTGGATTTCCAGTGGCTCACAACTCCAGCCCAGAAATGAAGGCCAAGAGGCAGAGGCAATGGAGTCCACTGATTTAGCAGAGCATGGACCTTGGAGCCAGACTGCCTGCATTTGAATCCTGGCTCTGCTATTTTCCGGCTGTGTGACCTTGGCTAAATTAGTTAACCTCTCCATGCCATAAGTTTCCCATCTGTGAATGATGATAATGCAAGGCTTACTTCATTAAATTGTTAGGGGAATTAAATGGCTTAAGTTTGAATCATGCTTATCACAATGTTAGGGCTTGAATGGGGGAAGATGTGTCTCTCTGTTCCCAAAGGTAGAAGGAGGGGCATTATTTATTTTATTTAAAAGACAGATTAATCAGAATTCACCCACAATCATTTTTATGAAGATAAAGATATTAGGACATTTGGTTACAAGGGCTTTTCTAATCAGGCTTTCAGATAAAAGACCCCTACTCAAAGAATAGATAAGAATAGAAGCAATTAGCATTGGCCAAAGCAAGGATGAGGTCTGTTCACTTCATAATGCTGTGTATAAATAAGACCATTAGTGAGCTACAAAATATTGTGTACCATGTACACTTACAGGGAAAATATTCTCATCTCAATTTTGTTTTTTGGTTTTTTTTTTTTTTTTTTTTGGTCCATCTTTTTAGTTAACATTTTTCTTTGTTTCTGTTGGGAAGAACACATGTCCATCTAGTCCTCTGTGAAGTGGAATTTTCTACTTTCCTTGGCTGGGTCCACAGGCAATTTCAAGTCACTTGGAAGCAGAACTTGAAAGACTGGCCCCTTACACTTTCTCACTGGCAAACTATACACTTCATTTCCAGGTTAAATTAGGTGGACCTCATTCATTTATTTTAGCCCTTCATTTGTTTATTTTCTTTGCACACATTGTCTTTACCAAGTAAAGACAGAATGAGAAAACAAAAACAGAAACAAAAAACATGGTCCCTCTTTCCAAAGAGTGACTTTATAATTTATGGGCAAAATATACAGAGATGCAAGGTGTCACATGAATAAGTGACAGGATGAGCAAGAGAGAAAGAGAAGAAATGTTGACCAAAGATGGGAGACTCAGTGACAGCTAGAGTGGAATTCCTAGAGAAGGAAGAGGCTAAACCCTGGGAGAAAGGCTCAAGCCAAAGCTGAGCAAAAACAGCAGTGGGAAAGAGGTGAACAGCTTCCGTGAAACAAAAGCCTTCTTGAGTTATAAATGTCTCTTTCTGATGGGAGAAAATAAGGCATCTTTCCATATAGAATTCTCTATGTGTTATCTTTGAGCCCATTTGTTTGCAAATGACTTGTCCTTTACTTTTTTGGGCAGTTTCACCAGCATTTTAAGACATTCTTCTAATGCAGTTTCTCTGGCTTTCTACTCCCATGGGGGTTTTTAGGGCAGCGCTTGAAAATAAGAAATATGAAAATGCATTCCCCTTAGAAGTGAGAGAATTGGGATAGGTGTGGGGAGCTATCAGGGGCCTGTAAGTCCAAAGGCACATAAGAGGTGATGTGATTTCAGGAGGAGTAAAGGGGAGACACCTTTCAGAGTTGCAGGGAGCCTACTGGCCCCTAAAAACTCAGGGTTCCAATAATTCTGAATGATATGGACATGAGATATTGAAACCTTTGTTGGAGCTAGTTCTTATAGTACTGTTTACACCAGCAAAAGTCTAGAAACAACCTAATGTCCTTTCCATGGGCAGATTAGGTCAAGGAGGGTAGAGTCATATGTTTCGGAAAGGGTTAGGCTATAAATTCAAAAGGGAATGATAGGTACAGTCAAAATTACACTAGAATGCTTCTTACTTTGTTCTTACTGTCCCAGGATCTAGGCCTTTGGAAACTCAAAAACCCAAAAGAACTTATATTATTCCCTTTCTTTTCAGCTGTGGCTATGGGATCCCATGGAAGGAAGCCACGTCTAGTTTAAATGGGGGGATGGGCCCAGGTGGTAAAGAAAAGAAAGAATATTACTTTCTTTGCTTCTTTCTTTCTTTTGCTGCTCCTCTATTGCTCTCCCCCATGTGCAGACACAGCAAGAAGGCAGCCCTCTGCAATATCCTGTACTATCCTCTGAAACATCTTGCAATATCCTTTGAAATATCCTGGTCTTCACCAGGAACTGAATCTGCCAGCACCCTGACCTTGGACTTCCTTGGCCTCAAGAACCATGAAAAATAAATGTGTTGTTTATGCTGCCAACTCTATGGTATTGTGATATAGCAATCTAACCTAAGAAAAAATATATATATGTTTACCAAACAGACAGAATATATATATGTTTACCAAACACACAGAACATTTATGGAAAGAAATAAGAAACTAAGAATGCTGGTTGTGCCCCAATGAGGAGACGTGAAATCAAGGAATGGGAGGAAGATCTTTTAGACTAGTAAGATCTACTTATCTACACTGAAAACCCTTATTTTAACTTGTAAGATATGTGACAGTGTCTATTTTACAAGTCCCATCAAAATATAACAAAACAAAGCCCTTGTTACAAAGCCCTTGTTGTTCACTGTTCTACAGGATCTATTTTGGGCTAACTGAGTAATCTGTGGCACAGCTTTAACATTTCCTTGAAATATTGACTATTCCAATATCACATCCTGCCCTAGGGCAATGTGGGCATATCTCAATAAGGACAGACCTCACATGACAGATCTGGGTGAGGAAAATACTCCAATGCTCATTTACTAGGTGATCTCTTAGTGGGGTACAAAATAAAATGAGACTTACCAGTAGAACCTGTTTGGTACGACCCCTTCCTGGATTAGCTGCCACCTTCTCCCAAATTCGGCAGAGCTGTATAACTGTAGAGAAGAGAAATTACTTAGCATCATGACCCCATGGCACACCAAATATGCAAATATTATTTCACTGGATCAATAACAATAAATAACAGCAGCAATAGTATCTATCATTTGTTGCGCACCTGCCATATGCCAAGAGAATGATCCAAATATCATCACTACTCCTCACATCCATTTTGCAAGGTAGATGTTAGTATCTCCACTTTACAGCTGAGAAAGCTGAAGTTCAGGAAAATGGTGTGATTTGCTGGAAATCATATACCCTCTAAACATTAGAATGAGCGGGGATTCATCCCCTTTTCTACTTGGTGACAAAGTCATCAGCACCACTTGACCTATCATATGCAGATCATTGTGCAGAATATAAAGAAGTGCAAACTGGAGATGTGGCTCTCGAGGAGTAGACAGTATAACCTGAACTAAAATAATGAGAAATGCACGTGGCCACAAGTGACAGAGGAATGCCAAGGAAGGAGAATCAGAAGTCAGAGAGGGATGCTTCACAGATGTGTGCAGATTCAGCTGAGCTCTGAATGAATGGCAGCATTCACACCAACAAAAATGGGACAGGCACTACAAGAGGAGCAACGTGGGCCCGAGGGGTTAGATACACAGGGATGGTATACAAATAATCCTGGCTCATCTAAAGAAGTGTAGATTGGAAATGTGGGAGGCAGCTTGGAAAAAGGCTTTCAAAAGCAAGTTAGGGAGACAGAACTGATCCTGCAGGCCAGAGGAGCCAGTGTTGGTCGTACCAACAACAGCCAGAGAAGCTTCAGGCCATTCCAGCAGCCCACATGGACTACACCTTCCCTGTGATCCAAGTGCTTCCTGTGCGTTATTTCATCTCATCCACACCCCATCCCCATGATGATATCTGAAGTTATTTTACAGAGGGCTCTACAGCTGTTAAGAGTTTAAGTCCACATGTGACATTGCTTCAGTACTCTCCGAGGGCAATGGTCATGAGACAGGGTTTAATGCTCCACATACTCCATCCCGTCCAAACATGATTCTTCTTTTACATCCTGCTCTTTATCATGGCTCATTCCACATCTCCGCTGTTCTCCAATAATCTTTACAACTCCATGGAAGTGTCCTCTGATGGCAGCCTGGAGATTCCTGCGGCTCCAGGTATTCTGGTTCCCATGGGCTACTGGCTACTGATTTGATAAATATCATTTGGAACATCTCCTTTCTATGTGCCTGGTCTATAGCCCACTGACGCCTCCAATCTTCCCCCAGTGCATTCACCAAATCCCACACTGAATGGATAATGAGTCATACCATACTGAGTACCATGATTACCCAGCCTTGTCCTCTCTCCAGCTCCAGCACTCAGTAAAGGGTCAAATGACTCACCAAGTGATTCACCAAGGTTGCAGATGTGCTGGGCAAGTCATAGGAACAGGTCAGCTCAAGTGAGTATTTACCAATCCTTGAAAGACGCTACCTAACAACATTGTGTCCAATTGGATTAAAACATGTTCTGAAGCCATTTTTTTTTCAAAGCTGAAATATGTGATTACTAAGCAAGCAGCTTAATTGGCTCTAACTACACAGTATTTGGGCATTTGGTCAAGGAGAATTTGTGGCTTTTTCTTTCAAGTCTTACTATTTTTGTCTTCTTCATCATGCCTGGGTACATTTTATGCCTGATTCCTTTTAAGAGTGCCAAGGAGAGATGGGGAGGCAGTTCCTCTCACAGAGATAACAGAGGACGAGACAACTCACTCCCTCTTAATTCAGAACCCAAGCATCCAGAGCATGCACATCTTGCTTCTTATTCACTAGCATGTCCTAAACTCTTGGCATTTGAATACAGAGACTTGTAGAACAACAGCAAGCACCCAGTCTGGGAGGGTCGGCTTCTCGAAACTCTCCCCTTGCTCTAACTTTTTTTAAGCCCAGAGCTGTACTTCTTCCCATGAGTTTAAAGAGAATAGAGTTCACACCATTCTGTGTGCCTATGTCTATATATAAATGTATGTTAATATCTATATTTATATATGAAGATTTATGCAAATATAACAGAATCAGGATGGCTTGATATAATAACAATTCTGTGCATGAGGCTGGACTCATATATCTTGAAAATCAAATATTAACTCTGAGGCCTCATATGGTGACACCAAGGAACTCAATCCCTGCCCCCACACAGCATTTATCTTTGGGAGGAATTACTAGGTGCCAGCATATGTGTGTATGTGTGTGTGTGTGTGTGTGTGTGTGTTTTCTCAATGTCTTTTTTTTAATTGATCCCCCTAGGCTTGGATTCAGAATCTCTGGACCAGTCAAGTATGTCCCATGATATTTGTTTTTATCCTCTTCAAGGGGCTGCTTTGTTATTTGTGAGCATCCAGAGGGCCCTCAAGCAGTAGGTGTATCAAACAATCCAATAAACCAAGCCTCTCTCATTCTACTTGGTGACATTCTTTTCAGTTTTCTCTCTTAAAAGGTATCTCTTGGTGCTGGTGAACTCACCTCACTTTCTCATTCACACCTGAGCAGACTTCCTGTGCTGTGTCTTCACTGGTGTTACCCACTCTGGCTGAGGTGACTTCAAGACTTGCCAGTCTTCTTTTTTTTAGGTCCAGAACAAAATATGCCTTTTCTATGAATCTTCTACATGCTAAAATTCCCAGTGGCCTCATTTTAGAAGATCTATGGTTCAACAGATGGTATCAAACTACAGGCCACATATTTATACTTAATTTTCTTAGTAGCTTTCCAAGAGAGCCATCTATGAATGCAAGGCAGATATTTCTTTCTATCTAAAGTCACTCTAAAATATTTGAGACTACTCCCTGCCCCTTTAATGAGACTATAAAGCTTACAAGGATGGCGAATTATTTCCTTCTAGAAAGCAGCTAGAACATAATAGATGGGCAAGGGGGAAAAAGTATCAATTTTGTGACATACAAATTCCCTAGTGATGATTCTATCTAGTGAAGTATCCAGGTTTCCCAATGGGTGGACAACGGTAACTTATCAGAGGATTATGTTTTATTTCCATGGGTCCATAGTAGAAGCCTAGTCCTAAGAAACAAACAAATGAACAAAACAGAGCTATAAATATCAGTACATTTGAAACTTCCAAACATTTGGAAGCAGGGTCCCCCATATCTACCCTTGGCCAAAGTTGCTCTGTTTACACCACCTACTATTTCAAATATTTTCCCCTTATTGTCCAGCCTAGGGTCACACCTAAAGGAGAAAACAGGAACTCACAGTCACTCAAGCTAATGTGTTAATTAAACCTTCAGAGTCCGACAGCAAAGTTCTCCACAAAGAAGAGAAGGATCAAAGCCTTTTACCCAATGACACTGTCTCAGCCGCCAGTAGAACGCTTCTCTTGCAAAATGAGTCAATGTCCTTTAACAAAAATCACAGAGTTGGCAGCACCTAAATAAGATTTATTTCCCTCTCTGTGTCTGGCTCTAAGGTTTCTTTTGACTGTCAGAACACAGACCTGAGAACTATCATTACTGTATGTCACATCAGAGAAAGCAGAGCAGCTTTCTCCAGCAATGCTAAAGGGGGGGAAGGGGGGGGGAGAGAGAGAGAGAGAGAGAGAGAGAGAGAGAGATATCAGGGAGAGGAAGATAGAATATATGAATTAGTTTTAGGAGGGCAGTATTCATCTACTAACCTCTGCCATAAACCCCAAAATACCATTCTTGAAGGGATTTTGGTATTGTTTTTATTGGACTGTGGTACAAAATATTGGGGAACATTTTTGAAGTAGAAATTTCAGAAAGGGAACAGGGAAAGGACTCGTTGCCTAAGAATGCAAGGCAGAAAGTCCTTCCTGCCTCAAATCATCCTAAACTATTGGAGACCACTTCCCTGCCTCAGTAAATAGAACATAATGAGCACAAACCCAATGCTCATCTATGCTCAAGATCTACTGTCAGCCTCAGGGCCTGACCCTCCACTCTGTCATTATGCTAGTCCCTGACTGTCAATACTTCTCCCTCCTGCCAGGCTCCTCTCCTGAATGATCTCTCTGTTTCCTCCTTCTCCTCCTCCCTCCCTCCCTCTTTCTTTCATTACTTATATTTTTTTTCCTCCTTTAGACATCTCTCACATTGGCTTGTGTTCTTGCCATCTGCCTTTGCTCTAAGAAGAGTACAGATAAAAATACAGTTAATTGCAAAGGATGCAATGGCAAGGGTTAGTTTTGTTATGAGCTTTTAACCAGTTGTTCAGCCATCCCTGGTACCATCCTCAGGAGGCTGCATAGCTGCAAGCTGGATCAGGAGCACTGGCTCCAAGGGCGGGGAAATTGGGATGCCACTGGGAGACAAAGAGCTTGGGGGTGGGAAAGACTGAGATTCATCAGCCTTGCTCAGCATTCCTGATCGACAGCCAACTAGGACGGAGAAGGAGGCACGAGAGCAGCTGTTGCTAATGCCCATTTTCCACCTTCTTCGCATTCACACGGTCGTTGAAACCCTAGCAGAGTAGCAACTTTCTTTGAAGAGAAATTCAACTTCCTTGTGCTGATGGCAAGAGCTCATACTCATCACTGTCCCTGCAAAGTCATCTTAATGTTTCTAAATCAGATCAATGTAGCCCCTCTTTTAACATCAGACAGGTACACATTAGGGATTTTGTTCTTGGCTAGGAAGTTGGTACAAGGACACAATTTGGTAAAAAAGAAGAGTGATAACATCTTTTAAACCTTTGTTTGATGGGACTGGATGCTTTCCCCACAAAGCTTCTCATGAAGACTTTCTCAGTCAGGAGGCAGGTCCCTGGGTTTCTGCCACACTGACTCCTTAGAGGCTGCCATATTGACAACACATCCTGCTGTGGGCACTCTTCAGGATTGCCTGCTCTCTCCTCTTTGCTTCTCTGCCCTTAACATTTTAGAGGCAGGAGGCCTGCAAATTGCACTTCTTGAGAAGGCTGACAGAAAACCTTGCCAGTTTTATTTTACTTGCTCATCCTAATACTGCCCTGGAGGATGGCCTGGGTACAAAGCACTCATCTAC